GAGCAGGATTTCCCTTTGCCTCTGCAGGTGAAATGTGGAGTGTGTGAAACTGCTCTTGTGCAAGCAGGCAGCAAGACCTGTTCCCTCCTCTCCTCAATGGTGCCAGTGCCCTTGAAGAGATCTGGGCCTGCTCAGTGCACTCCTCCCAGTGTGGCTGAAGGCAGAGCCCATTCCTTGGGACCCCCAGAGAACAGAGCAAAACTGGAGGCAGGATCAGTTAGCACTTTAGAAACCATTGGTGCAGGAGAGTGTGGTGATCTGGGAATGCTGCTGGAGGGCCCAGGACCGCTCTGCACAGCACCCTGAAGGAGGAGATGGCTGGAGCCCCCCAGGAGGAGCCCCTGCAGCCCCTCCATTCCCTGGCCGTGATGCACTTTAGTTCTTGCATTGTCCCCTGGAGGGGAGAAGGGCCTGGGAGGAGACCGTGGCTGCAGGTGCTTCAGTTACTCTGTACAAAGACTTACACACCCCCTGTAAATGCAAATTTCTACAAACACTAAAACTGTAAAATAAACAGTTACACACTTCCTGCCCTCCCCAGGCTGAGGCTGCCAAATCTGCTCTTGTAGCATCCTGTGGCCCAGAACTGGCACCTTCCCTGCAGTGGCCAGGCCAGCTCCGTGTGGCCTCACGACCAGCAGCCCTGTGGGAAGAGGAGCCAGGAGCAGAGCCAAAGGGTGCATGCGTGCCCCGGTCACTGTTCTCCATCCATCTGCCTCCCTCTGGGCCAACGCCAGGCCTTGTGTGTGCTGCTGGCTCTCCAGGCTGTCCCCTCCATCAGCAGCATGGTGCTGGAAATAGCCTGACCTCCCAGGCTGCCCTGTACCCCAGGCCGGGTGCCTGGCTGCAGGAGGAGATCCCAGGCATGATGCCCAATTCCCAAGGCATGCTCTGCTGAGCAGGGGTGATGCAGCTGCCTTTGCCAGGCTGGAAGTGGGTTTGGCTGGATGGCTCAAGGCTGCCAGTCATGTTGGCTGTTTTTAATTGCCTGTGGCTTCTCCAGGAGCCATTTTCTCAATAGTGCTTGGAGCCCTTTGGGAGGGATACCCTTTGGGCAGCAGGGGGGAAGGAGGAGTGGTGGCAGGAGGTGTGTGGCACCTTTAGGGTAGCCAAGAGGCCATGCCACGTATGACTCAGAACCAGGCCAGTGCCAATGCGTGCATGGGCCTGTGTGGGCCACGTTGGACACTGGACAAGAACCCCGTGTGGCTCCGACCTTTGTTAAGGTCAGGGAGGCAGTGGTGATGGCCAGTGAGCTCTGACTGTGGCTGCACCATGCTCCCAGCAGTGCCCCTGCATAGAGACCATCCCATTGCCGGGGGCTACAGTGACGCCATACTGGAACATTGCTGCCCCGGGCGGTGCTGGGGCCCCTCCCGTGGGTGCAGCCTGCAGGCTTGGGGCGTCACCGTGGCATGGGCAACCCCTGCACTTCTCCCTCCCTCGGGGACAGCCCAGTCCCCAGCAGCGCCGGGGCAGCAGGAGGGGCTGGCAGTACCCGGGGATGCTCTGGGCTCCTCTTGTTGCCGTGGCAACAACTGCGGCGAGACTGGGGGCAGGGGTCTGGGTGTGATGCAAGTGGCGCGTGACCTCGTGGCCCCCCCGGGCCCCCCTGTGGGTCTGGATTAGCACCCCCGGTTCCCTCTCTCTCCGGTTCCACCCTGATTGCCCTCGGTCCCCCTCCCCTGGCTGAACGACTCGGGGCGGCGCCGGGATTGCCCACACACACACGGGTGGGGCGAGGGGCTGCCTATGCACAGCACATACGTGCACATACGTGCACATGCTCACACTGCTCCCAGGGACGCCCAGCCCTCACTGACTGATGAGGATGAACCTCCCCGCTGCGGGAGAGCCCACAGGCATCCTGTGGAAACTGATACACCTGGGGGCTGGATGCTGGCCACTGGGAATCCCACATCTCCCTGGGGACCTCACATAGCCCTGGGAACCCCAAATTCCCCTGGGAGGCGTGAGGCAGCACAGAAGGAGCCAGAGCCGTGGGGAGCAGACCAACACACTTTATTCCATAATCACAACAGTCAGGATCATTGTTAGCCGAGGTTCTGCAGAGCAAGGGCCAGCCGTGTCACACCCCAAGACAGGCCCAGATGGGGTCATCACTTCCCCTCGGCTAAAATCCTGTTTCTCCAAGATAACAGACACAGGGACCCTTCACTAACACAACACTACAAAGGTGACCCCGAGCGCTGGCGCCCGTCCGCAGGCTGCGCCGGGGCCCCGCCAGCTCCGGGGACCCCCGGCCCACTCGGCCACCGCCAGGGCAGCTGCTTCCTGAGAGAGGTTTGGTTTATTTTTATTATTTATTATTACTATTATTATTATTATTATTATTCGCTTTGTCTGGAGTGATGACGGGATGTCGCACGCGCACGCACACACGCTCGCACACGCATGCCAGCCAGCACCGGGCAGCGGGGGCGCAGCGGGAGGGGGCCGCACGCTGGGAGGGGTCTCTAAGCACTACAACCACACGGCACGGAAAATCCACCACTGTCCACGACGGTTCTCCCTGACAAACACACCCGGCGAGACTTGAGGAGGGGAACAGGGGTGAGGACAGGGACAAAGCGGATGATGTTGTGCTTGCGGCCAGGGCGGGAGACCCCGGCGCTGGCTCTGGTTCTGGCACTGACCCAGAACCTGCTCCTGAGGAAATATTTTGCCTGACAGTCTGTGGAGGGATCACCCTGGCTCAAGGGTGATGCACAGCACATAGGGGACCACCGGGACCCCCTAGGAATGGAAGCTGAGCCCTGAGCTGCAGGGTCAGCAAAGCACACATGTGATGTGAGACCCTCAGTGTGGCCTCAGGCCTTGCTGGTACCTGGGGGCTTTGGCTTCCCCATGGACAGGGATGGAGGGCAGGTGACTGTCAGCCTCAGTGCCCTCCCAGAGAACCCCTGGCCACAGCATGGGGTGGCTGTGCACCCCAAGAAGGCACCGAGGTGCTGGGTGAGATCCATGTGTGTCAGAGAGCTCTGGGGCCGCCGGACCCCACGGGAACCCCAAACCCGGCTCACACATGGGAAGGGGCTTCAGATACTCCTGGCGCGGGGCTGCCCAGGGGGCAGGAAGGCAAAGTCCCCCCGAAGCGGCGGTGAGGCGGGAGCAGGCTGCCAGAATCACGGCTGTCTCGGCGCTTATTTGGCTTTTCCACCTTTGGGGGCGGGACTGGATCCGGTGGGGGACGGCCGGGGAGGGAGGGGACGCAGAGAAGAGGACGCGCTCTATCCAGGGAACACGTGTCTGATGCGTGATGCCCGCCTGGCTCCGCAGGCTGGCACCCGCACGGGGGTACCGAAACACCGTGGCTAATGCCAACACACACGCACAGCTACCGCTACACACCGATACATCTACACTGCTGATGGTTGACCATCGCGGGGGGCCTCGAGGGGCCCCCAGGGACTGGGCTAGGGGACATCAAGCATCCCTGCAAAGGGCCCGGGGACACACCCCTCCCTGCGCTGCAGTGCCTATCCCCACGGCTGAGCCAGGGCCACCAGCAGCTCCAGCAGCAGGGCCAGGCACCTACTCCGAGGCACCTTTAGGACACGGGAGGGGGATGTCCTTCCCCTGGTCACAGCTCAGTCCAGCCTGACAGCAAGGGGCAGACACAGGGTAGCCTGTGACTGGGGGAACCGGCAGCCCCAAAACAGGGAGGCAGAGCCCCAGGCAGCGGGTGCTCCACTGCCGCCAGCACCCCACTGGCAGGGAAGGGTCCGAGGGGCCCCCACAAACCTAGACCCCCTAGGGAATCAGGGTCATGGGGGGCTGCAGGGGCTGCTTCAAGCAGCGGTTGCTGCCGAGCCCAGTACAGCTCTTGCAGACGCTGCTAGCCCCAGCCATGACCACGTCCGCAGGGATGTGTGGGGTCCCCACCCAGCACAGCTGTACCAGAGCGCAGCCCCTGCCCCCCCAACCACAGCCTGCGGCAGCTGCCGAGCCAGCACTGCAGCCACGTGCTCCCGGCAGTGGGAGGAGGCGGCTGTCGCAGGAAGGAGCCATTAGGAAAAGCAAAGAGAATCCCAGCTGGAGGAGCCGCTGCAGCAGCATCTTCCCTGCCAGCATATCCCTGCTCTTGGCGTGGCCGGCAGCGGAGCCTAGCGTGGTGCTGTGTGGAGAAGCCCTGAGCCAGAGCATCACCTACACCCCACACGCCCACCAGCACTGGCTGCAGCTGCTCTTAGACCAGTTTGGGTGGTTGCTTAAGGCAGATTTCCCACAGCTGCCCTTCCCTGCCACCCCGGCAGCACCACACGCCAAGGGAGGGCACAGTGACACCCGGCTCCACTGGCCAAGGTCAGCCAGCCCACAGCATGTCCCACACGGGTACAGGCTCCAAAGCCAAAATGAAGGCTGGCTGCTTAGTGAAGGGCTGGTCCCCATACAATTTTGGGGTGACTCCGGACACGGGCTCCCTCCGTGGCACAGCTTTCCGTGCACAACTGCCTGGCGAGAGAAACAACACAGCCTCCCGCGCCCACGTGCTCGTCACGTGTGTGCAACTTCACTCTTCCCAAAGCGAGTGGCGGGGAGCACACACCACAGGGAAGGAGATACTGCTGTGGGACACTGAACCTCCAAGCCGGGGACACCTCACAAAATAGGGAGTTGGGAAGGGACAGTTTGGCATGGCTCGGCATCCCTCCCCGAGGGCTGCAAAGAGGAAGAGGAGAAAATTGAAGCCATGCGTTCAATGCAGTCAAAAACCAAACGGAATCAGCCGTTCTCCAGGGGATGGGGAAGGTGGGGTGGGCACCAAGAGCTGGGGTGGCATGGATGCTCCTGCTTCCTGGAGAGCGGGAGGGCACACGGTGCTGGCAGAGATGGGAGCGGCCGGGAGCAGCCATGGCTGTCAGCGCCGGGGCCATGGGGGAAAGCAGCCGGCTGTGACAATGAAAACCCGATGAGATGCATTTCACGGACAAATAACCGCGGCGGGCGGCCATGCGTCCTGCGGGCACGAGGCGAGAGTCGGACAGACAGACGGATGGAGAATGGGTGTGTGCCAGGGGGTGGGGGGAGCAGGGGCTCTGCCTTCCAGCAGCTTCAAGGCAAAATACCTGATTCCTGCATGTAAACAGCTGGTTTCGGTTTGTTTGTTTGTTTTTCCTGGGTTGTTTTTTGATATGACCTGATTGCGGGTGAAAATAAAAATGAGCGTTACCTGCAGAGCGTGGGACTCAGTAGGTAAAGACCAAGTCCGAGATGCTGGACATGAGCCAGTCCCCTGCTATCATCTCCGTCACCTCGGGCGTGCAATAGTCCGGGAACTCGAAGTGCGAGGAGCCTCCTCGCGGGTAAAGGTCGTGGTCCTTGTCGAAGACGGACCAGTCCAGGGCACCACAGGTGGCACTGGCAGGCGCCCGCCCGGGCATGATCCCCAGCAGCTCTTCCTCCAGCTCCTCGTCGGAGGAGCTGAAGGAAGAGGGTGGGGACCCAGCCGATATGGGAGAGGGGGACCCGCTCTCTGGGGACCTCGCTGGCTCCGGGCAGGGCGTGGTAGGGCTCAGGGGTGCAGGGGACTCCTGGGGGCTGTGCTCCCCGTCGGGTGCCGGGTGCCAGGCAGCCGTGCCAGGCACCACAGGGCTGTCCTCAGCGGGCACCTCTGGTGCGGGCTCCTGCGGGGTGTCGGGGCCGGTGGGCAGCTTGGCGGGCTGCCTGCGGCTGGCAGAGACACGGCCCAACACGGAGGGCTTGATCTTCACTGGGAGCCGCGGGCGGGCTGCTCCGGTGCCCACCTTGCCCTTTTTCCGAGGCCGGTACTTGTAGTCGGGGTAGTCAGCCATGTGCTTGAGGCGCAGGCGCTCGGCCTCCCTGACAAAGGGGATCTTCTCGGAATCGTGGAGGAGCTGCCAGCGCCGGCCCAGGCGCTTGGAGATCTCGGCGTTGTGCATGTCGGGCCACTGGTCCATGATCTTGCGGCGCTCGTGCTGGGACCACACCATGAAGGCGTTCATGGGGCGCTTGATGTGCCCGCTCGGCGTCTTGCACCAGGCGGGCTCGGTGTCACGGGCGGGCAGCGGGGCGCAGGGCTCCCGCCGAGCCTCCGCGCCCCGGCCCCGCGGGCCGCGCTGCACCATCCCGGAGCCGCGTACCCCGCCGCCGCCTCCGCCTCTTCCTCCTCCCCTCCCGCCGCCGCCTCCCTGCCCGCTGCCGCCTCCCCGCCCGCCGCTACGCGCCGCGCCGCGCCGCCCCCATTGTGCGGAGCGGGCGGTGGCGGGGCGGGGCGCAGGCGGCCGCGACGGGGCCCGGGGGCGCACGGCGGAGCCGGCTCCGCCGGGGCGGCGGCCGCGGAAATGTTCCGGAAGGGCCCCGGGATGGCCCGGTGGTCTCCGGCTTGGAGATGCTCTGCAGCGGTCCTGTCCCGGAATGCTCTGCGCCGGTCCGAGGATGCTCTGGAATGCTCTGTAGCACCTCGAGGATGCTCAGTACCGGTCTAAGGATGCCCTGTAGCACCTCGAGGATGCTTGGTGCCGGTCTGAGGATGCTCCGGGATGCTCTCTACCGTCTCAGGGATGCTCCACACCAACCTGGGGATGTTCGGCGGCGGTTCGAGGATGTTGCGGGATGCTCTGTACCGGCTCGGGGATGCCCCGCACTGCCCAGGGATGCTGCACGTCGTGAGGGCTCCGCCCCGGGGTTGCTCCGCTCCCCGCCGTCCGGGTGTTGCCTCCCCGGTTAAATCGGCAGATGCTGCGGTCGGAAATGGTGTAGGGCGGTTGCGGCGGGTCCGGGTGCGGGTCGAGAGTGCGCGGGGGCGGTGCGGGCAGCCCGGGAGCCGCACGCCCCCCGGTGCCGCTCTTATAGACACGGCCGCCCCGCCCCCGCCGCCCCCGGTAAACACCGCCGCGCCGGGTCTGTCAATGGAGGACCCCGCCCCCCGCTGCTCATTGGCCGTAGGGCGGGGGGGCAGATCCCGCTCAGCCAATGGGCGCCCGCCGAGAGGGGTTGCTGGAGAGAATGGCAGGGCGGCACGCCCCGGTACCCCCGGTACCGCCCGGCTACCCGGCACGCCCCGGTACCCTGGTACTCTCCGGTATTCCCGGTACCCCCCTGCTAGACACGGCACGCCCCGCTAGCCCCCGGCAAACTGGCACGCCGATGCCTCCCATACCACCCGCACGGCAGCCTCCAGTACCCCTATCCGGGCAGCACAGAATCCCCGGTGACACCCGGTACCTTCAGACAAGCATCCCGGTACACCGGTACCTCTCTGTGCCTTCAGGCACCCACCCAAGGACGCTCCAGCTCCTGCCAGTAACCCGCTGCTCCCCCGGTCTAAGCACCCCGATGTCCCCGGTGACCCTGACATCCACACCCTCGGGAGTACCCACACCCCTCGCGGTTCGCCGGGAGCCTATGCACAAGTCTGACGGGCCGGAACACCGAATATCACCCCAGAATGCTGCGCTCGAACCCTGCCCTGCCGGCCCACTGGGCTCCCAGGACACCCACTGCCCCCGGTCGTCCGGGCAGAGCCCCGGTCCGGAACAGTTCCCGGGCCGCTCACTAGGGCTTGCACCGCTCGGCGCCACGCGTTGTGGGAACACCGACGCCTTCGTGGACACATCCCCGCCACCCATTCCAGCGTTGTCTCCCCGTGGGTCCGCCCCCGGCGGAGACGGGAGCGCCGGGCGGTGAACGCGCAGCCCACGAGGCGGACACGCGGCTCCCCGGTGCCACGAGTGGGGCCACGCCCCTCCCTGTCAGGCCACGCCCCCTCCGCTGGGCGGCACCAATGGGGCGGCGGCGGCGGCGCTGTTGCCCCGGAGACCGCGGGCTGCCCGCCGGGGGCCGCGCCCATTGGTTGTTGCCGCCGCGCGCGGGCCCGCCGGGGGCCGCGCCTATTGGCTGCGCCTCCTCCGCCAGTTGCTGTGGTGACAAGGGACCGCGCGGGGCCGCGCCCGGCCCGACCGGGCACCGCGACTGACCGGGCGCCACGGGCTGCCGCCGTCCTGCGGTCTGAGCAGGAACTGTGGCCTGTCCCGACACTGCGGCCAGCCGGGACACCGGGACCTGCCCTCCCGCCGGCCCGGCCCGCAGCCCCGGGAGTTGCCCACGCCGTCTCTTAGCCGCGCTGCACGGGGAACACCGCACAGTTCTCCACCGCAGCTTTGCACCGGGCCTACGGGCGGCGCCGCCCCGAGCCGTTCCCGCTCGGTATAGCCGGAGGTCATACCCGGTACCGGTCACCCGTATGGCCCTGGCAAGGAGCGCCTGCTCGGTGGCTCCCACACACCTCCGGTCTTCACTGCCGCCCCGCCGGTGGTGGGTGCCCGTGGAACGCCCGCGGCGTCGAGCAGTTCTGCGGGGCCAGAGGCGGCTGCCCATCCCCGTTGGTCCTGTGCACCGGGCCCGCCTCTACCCAGGCTTCCCGGGACTGCCGTTCTTCTACTCCCTCCCGGCCCCGGCCACCCTGCAAGCAGCCCGGGGCCAGTCCCGCCGGGCTGCTCAGGCTGCCATAGCTGCTTCCAGCCCCGGACACCCAGACCCTGCCCGATGGATCCCGTTCCGGTGGATCCGGTCCCGGTGTGCTGTCCCGGTGCGGTGCCGGGGCGGAGCCGGCAGGGGGCGTCCCTTCCGCCCGTTCCCGTGAGCTTGGGCCCCGCCCGGTCCTCGCTGTGGCCGCGGGGACCGGCTCGGGTTACAGGGGACATGGGGCATCCCCAGATGGGGTTCCTGGGGGGCGGTGGGACCCGGGGATCCCTGGAGGGCAGAGGGTGGTGAGGATCAATGGGATGTAGGGGTGTCCCAGGAGGAACAGAGGCTGACAAATGGACAAAAGAGAGAGCCGGGAGGAGTTCCCCATAGACCAGCCGTTCCTCCATACTGTCCCTGGCTCCAGCTGGCTGCTGGAGCACCACTTTGCTTCCCAGAACCATTCCTGTGTGGAGTGGCACCAGGCACGGAGACAGATTCCTCCGTGCTGCCAGTGCAAGCAGCACTGCCTGAGGGTAAGGTCAGGGTTGGTGCAAGGGGAATTTCCCAGCTCTTAGGAATCAGCAGTAACTGGATTTCTCCCTGTGCAGAGCATGAAGGCAGTGGTGCAGACCTGCTGTCAGAACTGTGTGGACGCAGTGAGGGCAGAACTCCAGAAAATAGAAAAAAACAATGGAAAATAATCTGGGAAGCTACTTGCTCACATCACTGTGAAATGAGTCTCTACAGTCATGTTACCTTTGCTTTCCATCCTCGGTTAAAGACAATGTGTTGATCTTATAAATGTCAAACAATTCCATATCTGAGAATGAATCCCATTTGCCCTGTGGGGATGATCTTCCCATCAGCCTGCCAGGAGGGAGAAAGCCCTGTGACACATGGCAACCTTTGCTTGGAAGGGGGGGGCGGTTCTGCTCATGGGATCGTTCCTCCCTGGTGTATCCCAGCTCCTGCCACCCGGGTACACACAGGGCTTGTTTTTCATGAAAATACCACCCTGTTGGGCAGACACTCAGCCAGCAGAGCAGCAGTGGTGTGGGTGTCAAGAGGAGCTGGATCTCCTGCACCAGGGTCTGAGTATGTCTGTAGCTATGGAGGCAAAAGCTGAAGGAGGAGGAAAGCCTGGAACATGTCAGGAGGGAGGAGGCAAGTGGCTGTGTGATAGATTAGTGGAACTTCATTTTTTCTGTTAAAAAAAAAAATGGTAAAAAAGGGGAATTAATTAGCCTCAGCAGCTGGTGGGGCTGGGGTTACTGAGGGTGGATGGGAGAAGAGTTAAAAATAGCAGGAAGGCCCAAGTGGAAAGTTTCTGTAACATCACAAGTCAGGCATTTGGTGCTTACCCGCCCTGACAGGCGGGAGCCTGTGCCAGAGCCCTCTCCACCATCCTCAGCCCTTTCCCACTGACCTCCCTGCAACTTTTCACACGACATCACCAGCCATTCGGTTTGCTGATTAACCCTTTGCTTCCAGACGCCGGACTTGCATCTTGAAAGAGCATAATCAGCCACAAATTGCTCAGCCCGGGAATGCGAGGGTGCAGAGGAGCACAGTGCTCATGCTGACCTCCCTGGGTCCCTGCATGTTGCTGGCAGTGTGTGGAGCCCGGAGGAGCTGTAACCCCCTCCTCTATCCATTCCTATCTGCATTTTAGCTTCCCCTCCTTAAAAATCTTCCTGTTTTCAGAGGCCCTGGGTGGAATTCACTGGTAGGTCTGAGCCCTATGCTGGGACACTCTGGATGCACAGTTTGTCCTCGGCTGAGACGGAGATGGATGAGGCAGCTCTGAGCAAGCCCAGCTTGCCACACTTGTCCCCACTGCAAGAAAGCAGATGCACCTGGCTGCTCCAACGGGCTTTCTCTGCTTCTGTTTGTCTTTCAGGTTTGACAGGAGAGTAGCTGAATTCATTCCTTCTCCCTCTCAGAGCCTCAGGAGTTGTGTCTGGCTCTGCTGCTCTGGGAAGGCTGGCAAGAGCTGAGCCTGCCATACACAGGGTGGTCTGAGGGTGGTGGAGCAGGACTTGGGCTGGAACCAATTTTGATGGCTGGCAGAGTGGTCAGTGACTGTGGCAGACCACGAGGCATGAGAAAATACTGCTGGATTGACTGGGGGGTCAGGTTTGGCTCTGATTTACACTGAACAGGAGCCAGGCACTATCCTGGTTTAGAAGTGTTTCCCTCTTCCCCTAGCTGCTTGCATGGTCCTGGGTCCCAGAACAAGCATCTGGCCTGACCCCACTGAAAGCCAGTGGAGAACCCAGGGGACACAGACAGGGTGGCACAGGTGACACAAGGCAGGCTTCCCTCCACCCACATGTGAGACACGGGACACCTCTGAGCACAGACCATCTGAGCAGCGCCCCTGCTCCTGCTTCTGCTCCTCCTCATACCAAAACAGCCAAAGCAGAGCAGCTTATTCCCCCTCTGTGCTTTGCCCCTCCTAACTCTGCTCTCTCTCAGGTGCATGCTGGGTATCGAGGTGGTCCTCAGCATTCTCACCAAGGAGGGACACTTGTCTGATGTCACTCGTCTGATGCCAGCCCCCTGCCCAGTGCCTGGAGTGGCCAGGCTTGGATGAGGTGCCAAGCTGACGCCATTGCTTTCAGCCCTTCTTCCCCCCAGTTCTTCCAGCACCTTGGGC